TCAAAAGACCCACGAGATCCCACGAGCAAGTTGAAAGATGTTGAAAGCGTCTCCGGGTTGACAGGTTCTCAGATCGCGGGGAAAAGGACGTTGCGTTGGTCGTTGGTGAGCATTTCCTTTGTGCAATGGCGCCTGGCTTGGAATCCGTTCCCATTGGCCACGGAGCGTTGCCAACGATTGACTTCTGCTTCAGAAACGATGTTTCGGAGTTTCTGAGTCGGATTTTAATCTGTTGCTTATGCTAACAGTTTTAATCTGGTGGATTTCTCAAATGGCAAGCCTTTAGCGACACCCTCGATCAGAAGGCTGGCAGGAATGTTAAGTCGCATCAATCTCGAAAACTATTTGGTTTGATTTGGTTTGATTTTGATTGAAATATGTTCCATCGCGATCCAGCGCAGCTGTCATGCTTTTCGACTAACAGGCAGAGTCCGCAAGAATCCATCGCTTCTAGTTGGGTCTGCACCAGGATGGGTTGTGTGTGTGACAGCAAAACTCGAAGCAATGGTGAGCCCAATCGCTGAAGATGCCAAACTCCCGCAGAAAAGATGGAAAAGTGTCAGAGTTCAGAAAGCCTCGCACGAGCTTCTTGCAATTTACGCTATGCCGCTATGCAACTTTGCATACATGTGCGACATTTGTGGACCACGAATTGTTGGATCTGGTTGGCACTCCGTGTATACTGTTTCCACATGGTTCCACTACATGGTGCCTTCATTCCAAGGACTCGATAGTACTTAATATTCTATTTTGTTTGACTTACTTGACCAGTCTAACATGTCCATTATGATTGCTTTGTGATATTTTGTGATTGCCTTTTGTCATCATTCTGACGTCCACCGGTCGATCGTGCATCCCGAAGCGCCTTTGTTTGCTCGATTTGTGTGTCAGATTAACACTTATCAGCAGACAACACTAGGCCCCAAGTCCCTAAGGCCGGTCTTGGTGCGCGCGCGCTTTGTTTTCAAATCAGCTGACTCAAAAAAAACCTCTCTCTCCCTCTATCATCTCTATCCCGTGACTCCTGGATTGGATGGATCTACCACAAGGCGTCTGGGTCTGGAATCAAGCAGCCTCCATGGATAGCGCGATTCAAACTGCTTGACTCTGCTTGACGACAGAAAATGAAGAAATAACATGAAATAACCACGCCCAGGAAAAGATAAGTTGAAGCAGTGATGCCTCTGAAGTTCCGCTTTGGGCATCGCTTTGAGCAGCAAGCTTGAATCAAAACGTTTGCAAATTTGGCACAATAATTCTAGTATCAAAGCCAAGCAGAAAGATCCAAAGTTCTGAGTTCCGAGGAAACCGTGCAGGACCCACACCTCTTTTTTACCTCTGTGACTCAAGTGTGCAGTTTGTATCAGATGTATCAGCCGTGGCGATTGAATGGAACACTGTCCCCAGTCCCCTTGTGTGGGACCCAAGATCAGCTTGTGCAACGGTGTCCATTGATCTCGACAACCAATTCTTATGTACAATGGAAGAGTGAAGAGATACTGCCAGTGACTCAGAGCTCTGTCAGATCCGTCAGGGTCCAACTCATGGCCTTGGTCACTTATGTCACTTGGAGGTATATAAAATGTATATATAAAATGTATATAAACACTCCAGATTGTGATGATTGTGATCTAGATACATCATGATACATCTATCATCCATCCAGCGTAGATGAATCTATCCATGTCAAACAAGTTTCTGCGACACGTCAGCAAATACTTTTGATAAACACAGTAATTTCATGTATTGTCCAGGCCTGAACTCGATCATGCTGGACCATTCCCTCGGAATAATGGACCCTGGCACAGATTAACTTTGCGAGAAATGCGTGAATAATCCAAATGCTTTATCATTCCTTCTAAATCTTCTAAAACAGCTGCTTTATTTGAGGCAGCAAACAAACACTGTGCACAGCTGTACCTCCTGCACCTGCAAGTACTCTGCCGGGGCTTCCCAGCCGATTCTTGGTGACTCCTCGGTATCCAGCTTGTCAAGTTTCCAGCTTCTTGACGTCTGCAAAAACGGCTGCACATGGAGTTGCATGGACTTGCCAATATGCAAACAGGAAATAAAGTTCAGTTTTTTCCACCATGTTCAACGTTTAATGATCGGATCCCATCCAGTCTAGTTTGAGCACCAGGCAACTTCAACTTGAGGACGGTCGTGCCTTGCCAGAAGTTCCTCCAGATTGCACTGACAGCACAAATCATTCCGATGAGAATCGGAGAATCTACGAGTATCATCTGCGCTTGTTGCTTTAATGTGAAGGTCAACCACCACATTCTGCCGAAATTCTGCCGTTTGAAATGAAGAAACACGCAAAATCATCATGCCAAGCACTCACATCCTCAATCAAAGTACGGGACAGCTGTCCGTTTTCGGTTCCGCCACAGTGAAGCGAGGCCTCCACTCGCAAGGCTCGCTGCTGCAGCATGTCCTGACAAAGGGATACATAGTGATATGATGTGATATGAGGGTATCAAATTTATCAAAGGGTTTCTTCTTTTTTCTTTTCGCCAAAGTGTTGACTTAAAATTCTTTGCACTCCCCACATCTCTCCGCTGATAAGTTGCAGTCAAGGTCAAGTGATTGCATCACAATACTCACAATCCTGTAGCAGGTACAAACATCAACGGAAACCACGAAGTACTGCTTAAGAAAGTACTGTAGAGTACTCCGTGTTTCTTCACAAGAGACCTGGAGGATCAATATATGCGAAATGACATATATTATATGTATATAATTATATATATATATTATTATTATTATAGATTGAAATATGACAAGCCCTCACTCTCCTCCCAGTCACATCCCAGGATCCTTCACTACGGACTGCCAGGCTTCTGGGACAACGTGGAACCTGATGCAATGGCCATGGCTCAAAATGCTCAAATCGTGGCAGCTTCATCTGGGGAGACCGGGGAGACGGAGCCTCAGGAGCCCAATGCCGTCTTCACTGGACAAGGCCAGGAGGAAGATGGCAAGAACCTCAGCAATGTCAGAGACAGATCTGACAGATCTGACAGTCAAATCTTGTGGATGATCTAGAATTTATAATAAGTTTATACAGATTCTATACAGATTCTATACCGTATATACAATGTATATTATATACTCCTTTTCTTCATGTTTCGTCATTTCATCATTTGATTTCAGATGTGTTCCCCCTATCATTATCTTCCAAAAAATCCAAGATCATCCAGACCTTTGTTTGCATGGCATTGCTGTCCTCTCATTTCAACAACCTCAGACTCAAATTTGGCATGACTTGGCCATCTACAAGACACCAAGACTACCTTGAAACTGCCAGTCTGTGTCTGTCACTGCCCAGGAAATGTAGTCGACCGCTGTTCCAACCTGCTGACAGCGAGCAGAATGATTGTATGCTCACTAGACTTGAGCCATCTTGAGTGGGGGCTTTCCTGGCAATCTGCAAGGGTACAGCACATGTGGACTAGCAAGATCTAGCAAGTACAGTACTCTTGTTCATGATTTTGGAACATCGATGGCTTGGTCATGTTGATAAGAATCTAAGAAACAAAGGCTTTGCAAAATTCAAATCAAACAACCTAGCGCGTCTCAGATCCATCTGACAGCTTTGAGACCGAAGCAGAGCTTGCCTTCGCAGAGCTTCTGACAGGGCCTCCCAAAAGCGACAAAGGGCCGCAAGACGCGGAGCTGCAATACTTCTCAGACAAGTTCAAACAGCGTAACTGGCGTAACTCGCCATACTGAGGCCGGGTCCTTTCGAGACCTTGGTTTTGGATGGCTTTCTGTGAAGCTTTTTTCAGCGGACAGTGAAGCAACATGAGTCTGGATATCTTCTACTGCTAAAACTCCAAGATACTCCAAGCCTGTCCAGTGTTATTCTGAAAAATGATGACGAGGTGATGAGGTGACGGACTCTCCAAAAGACAGTTACAAGCTGCTTGTGACGCCGGAAAGTCTTTACAGCCAGAATACCTATGTCATTCCATGCCCTTGAACTCAGTAGCTGACAAAGGCTTCCACTGAATTTCGAAGATCCCTGGGCAACTGGTCCTGGAGCAGAGGCAGCATGACACTTCAATGTATTTCACTGGATCAGTGTCATGCATTGAGAAACCTTTGTTTAGTTCGTTTCAGTTCTACACACCCTTGGCATCCCTTGGCACCTTCAAGCCTTCCAATCTGGCTTGCAAACGACGCCATTCGTTTGATGGACGAAAGTCGCCAGCTGCAGTGGACTTTCCCAGAACCTGACGTCGCAAGGGCTTGCTCAAAAGAGAGCTCTCGAAGAAAATATATAAGTTTTTTTGGCACGCAAAAGCCCTGCAGTGACTTTTTATTACATGTGAACCCCGACAGCTTCAAAACGCCTTCCATGCGTTCGACAACTCCTCACTGACTTGTCTGATCTCCTCAAGAGGCAAAAAAGAGCAAAAAAGGAAAAAGATCCAAAAAGATCGAAAAAGCTAGAGTACCTGTTCCCCTGGGACAACTTTCACCGGTGTGCTGTGCTTGCGTGTCTTTGCTCTGAATCTTGAAATACAGCTTGATCTTGAGTTCGAGCTAGTCCGTCATAGGTCTCAAGCTACCACATGCTACAACTGTAGCAGCGCTGTGTTCGCCACAACGCAATCACACAACACCTTCGATCTAGGTCTGCAAATGTGTCAACGCTGATCTATCTGGCACGGCCTCTTGAGAATCCAAGGGTCCTCAGGCTTGAGACCGTAACGTGCTTGACAAGGCCTGACAAGTAGAGCCAAGTTAGGCAACCTGTATCTCTTTCAAGAGCTTGGTTGGATGGCAAGATTTAATGTGTTTAAATATGTTTAAATATGATCATTCAGTGATGACTTGCAAGCCTCGATACGTCAAAAGCCATCCAACAGGTTGCAATCGCCGCCTGAGAGACCATTTTGCATTTTTTTCGGCTATTTCAGACTGAACATCACTGAACCACTAAGGTCGTAGGATATCATAGGTGTAGATGCTAGTTGTAGATGCTTGTACTCCAATTGTTTTGCTTCGCATTTTGCACGCGCAGTTCCAAAACCCAAAACTGTCGGGCGGTTCTGCAATATCAAAATATTTAAATCTGAACTGTCTGAACTTGCAACCGTGTGAATCTGTGTGATACAGTCAGACTGCGAACGTTCCAGCCATATCTTTGGGCTGGACTCCCTCAAAAGTATAGGCTAAGGGAGGAGATTTGCCACCCTTGCAGCCACTGAAGTTCTTCGAATTTGACATTTCCCAATCTTTGTGGGTGTTACATGGTGTTACTTGGGTTTTAGAATGTTTTATATAGAATGTTTGACATGCTTTTAATTGTCACATGTTTCATCATGATTCTACATCGCTTTGGTCGTGCCAGGTCCTGTCGAGTTCATCTGCGGTCACTGCCGCTGTCAGCCAGGGCTTCTCGCATCCGGAGGCGATTGCTTCGCTGCCTCGCAAAACTCCAGCGGTCACCAGCTGATCGAGCTAACAAAATTAACAAACAATAAGAAAAGCCAAAAACATCCAGAAACCATAAGAAATATCAAGAAATCAAGGATGGGTTGGACAAGTAGAAGGAGTACATGCTTCAACCGGAAAAATGTGGAGAAACAGGAGATTCAATTGCAGGGTGTCTGAGTTCTTTCGACTGAGTCCCTCTCATACCCTGCAGCTGTTTGCGGCAGCTGATTGTGCCAGCTAACATGGTGTTGAATCATGTTGAATCATGTTGAATCTACACTTTGTCCAATACGAGCTTCAAATTCGGGTGGGATCGGAGATGTGAAGGATTCGCATACTTTGGCAAGAGCCAAATGGTACGAAAGGAAGGAGAAGTCAATAACGTCACTTCCATACCTCAGTTGCAAAGATAGCAAGGCTCTGTCATTCCGTTGCCAACACATGCCAGCACCAGTGCAAGCTGGGGGCGGATCGCTGACGTAAACGCAAACGTCAAGAAGAGATTGGAAGGTTGCAGGAACGATAACCGTTTGAGCGATCTGCGCCACCAGCAAGGCGTAGTGACCAAGAACCAATGCAGCTGCACCAGTATAGCCACAGCCAAGACCCATGATGCAATGGTTACACTGCACCATGACAGAAATCCTGAGGCCATGTGCAGGATTATCCAAATCTAAATAGAGGTAGATAAAGATAGATAAAGCATCTTGGCTCGTCTCCGATAAATTCCCTGCAAACCCTTCCCAAAACTGAAGTATAATGAAGTGGCCGGTTGGATGCAGTCCAAAATGATCCTTCATACATGTGAAAGCCGAGGCTCAATTGGACGTAGGTGTACCTGACGCCAGCTTGTTGCCAATTGGCAAGCCAGGTGACAAGGCAGGAAGTGTTTGGCTATCAACATCAACCATAAATACGGCGGCAATCTACTTGTCTTCCATGGTCTTCCCACTGACAGTCGACATCTGTCGACATCTGTGTTTCGCTCTGTGACAGACTCTGTGACTCTGTACGCCGAGCAACGGCAGCTGCGTTCCCAGCTGTGTTCGAATTGCGGAGATGGCAGCCCGACCGTTGCAACACCTGCACAATTAGCGAGAAGGGCCTGCGGATTCCCTTTGCAATGGAGCATAATGCATCGTATGAACATGTATGAACCATGATCAATCATGATCAATCATCATGAATCATGATCATTGTGTCGCAACGTGAGGCGGAGCCAGAATCTTGTATAATTATTCCTTCGAGCTAGAAACATTTTTGGCATTGATCCGAAATCATCGAATTGATCTGAATCTGAATTGATCCAGATTGATCCCTCGCCCTTGACTTCCCGGAAAAGTCTATGCGCCTCTTCTGAATTTTGTAGGCCTTCTTGTCGTCGTTCAACCATAGCTTGACATACGAGGCGATCCAAAGCCAAACTGTCTGAGCCTTCCTGAGCAGGCCAAGCTTGTCGAGGAAGGGAGCACACACTCAATACTTGAGTCGTCTACACTGTCTACAAATCACAGCACTCGAAAGTCAAAGACTCAAAGCTGGATCGCACTCCTCAGTACTGTCTTCTAATGTCTTCTGTCTATACCTCAAAGCCTGATTTTGGATTGCTCTTCAACCCGAGTTTGTAAGTCTAAGTCCATTCAAAAAGGCACGCTGAGGATCTCCTGCGTGTATTTCATGTCAAGTCTCTGCGCCCGATCAGCCAAATAGGGGATCTCCTGCTCTTTGAGAAGTCCCATTTTTACGAGTCCTGAGAAGGGTCCTGCGCTGGAAATGGAGCACGAAAAAAACAAACGGAAGAAGCCTTCAAAAATACGCGGCTCAGACGGCTGAGATTCAAAAAAACAACTGAATCAAAACCATTGAAGATATTGAAGTCGAAATAGGCCCAAAGCGCAAATTTGTGCTGAATTTCGTGAATTGGCATTGCAAAATTGCGTATCGCTCCTTCAGCTCCATTGGCCTGTGGGAAGAGCTGGAAACATCTGGGACATTGTGGGAAATTCTGATTCTGTATGACTCAATTCAATTCAATTCATACTTCATACAGATTCATACAGATTCATACAGATTCATACAGATTCATACAGATTCATATGTTTGCAAGCAGCTATAGTAGCTATGGGAGCTATGCTCTCAGCTTTTGTCGCAGCTTGTGTGCTTATATTCTCCTTTCTCCTTACTTTCCCATCCTTCTCTGCCCCTTCACACTTTATAGACGAGGTGGTCAGCTCAGAACTCTCACTTGAAGATCGTTTTCATTCGTTGCAAAGGTCGCAACCCCCTAACTTCATTCATCAGTGTCCAAATGACAGACTCAAGATATCTCAAAATACTTGCCTGAGCATTTTCAAAGGTTCCGCGGCACTCATCCTTGGGCTAGGCTTTCCAGGCACGCTGGAATGACCCGGTGAATTCTGAGGACTAAATAAACAAACCGAAACAAACCGAACCTGCCAAGGAACATAAGGAACTGGAAAGAAGTTCTTTTCAGAGTCTTAAGAGTCTTTTTCGAGTCTTTTCAGAAGTCTTTTAAGAGTCTTTCATGTTTCCAAGCTTCAAAAAGAAGTGCTTGCGAGAGCAGTCCCAGGCGTGCCACACACTGCAGCTGCTCCTGACCGCTCGTGCAAAAGCAACGGAGCAGAAAATCATAACTCAAACAAACTAGCCAACAAACAGAAGAACACAAGCAGCTTGGCCAGCTTGGTCAGTTTGGCCAGCTTAGTCAGCCTGGCCTGTGTGGCTCCCGATGTTGACAGCAGCAACAAAACATCCAACACCTTGATGCAGAGATCTGCAGAGACAGGAGAGAACATCTGTCAATCTGTCAGCATGCTGAAAGATCTAAAGCTGCAAACTACGTATGGAAATCGGATGAAATCGGAAAGCCATAGAAAGCGGTGGCTCACCATCGTTCACCACATGGCTCCCGAAAGGACGAACACTACATATTTTGACATGCTGCGACGCCAAGTGTCGACATCATGCTGTCACATGCCACCACTCCCATTGAGAAAGGCACACTGTGTCTGAGTTTTTTGCATCATTCTGAATTATCTTGTAATTATATGTTTCCATTCACAGCGTTTCACATCAATATTTAGCGGATAAATCATGATAAATGTTCTGTTCGCTGTGTTGGTCTGTTGGTAAAAGATTGAGGCCAAGCTTCGGTGCCGTGAAGCGTCCTCAAGAACTCCCTGCACGGAGAACTTCTATTTTTGGAAGCGATACTTCAGCAAAAACTCTTGACCAAATTATTGGCCAAACATGAAACAAATATGAAACAAACTCGCCCAAATCACTAAATCCGGCCTATGGTTCCACCATCTGGAGATGTTCAGCTGCACGAAGAAACCCATGATGAATGTCACCTGAGTTGACAAGCTGCAAAAGCTGCAAGGTCAGCCTCAGAGAATGCTGCAAAAACACAAACCAGTCGAAGCCATTACCTACCCAAGCCTACCTAGCTGTAGAAAAAAAACATCTGTAACAGTGGGTGAATGGTGGTGTCCCACACACGCACGTCTGATTCCTGCTCCATGAATGTCGTTTTAGCTTATGCCGGAAGTCTGCGTGCATCTTATATTTTACGAAGCCCCACATTCAAACGATACTTGAGCTCACTTGGTGAATACAGACATACAGGGTACCATGCGTTGTCACACAAGGTTCAGATGAGGTTGCATAGGAAACACGCAAAGTTGCACACACCACAAGTGTTTAATTAGCACATAAAAATAATGGCCATATTCTTGCCAGCAAACGTGTAACGACATGATTTTAAAAAATAAAATGAAAAAATGGACCATATATAGATATACTATGTATAACATGTATAAAATATATATATAATGTATAACATGTATACTATGTATAATATGTATAATATGTATAATATGTATAATATGTATAATATGTATAATATGTATAATATGTATAATATGTATAATATGTATAATATTTATAATATTTATAATATTTATAATATGTTTGTCTGTCTGTCTGTCTGTCTGTCTGTCTGTCTGTCTGTCTGTCTGTCTGGCTGTCTGGCTGTCTGGCTGTCTGGCTGTCTGGCTGTCTGGCTGTCTGGCTGTCTGGCTGTCTGCATGTCTGCATGTCTGCATGTCTGCATGTCTGCATGTCTGGATGTCTGGATGTCTGGATGTCTGTCTGTCTGTGTGTCTGTGTGTCTGTGTGTCTGCGTGTCTGCGTGTCTGTGTGTCTGTGTGTCTGTGTGTCTGTGTGTCTGTGTGTCTGTGTGTCTGTGTGTCTGTGTGTCTGTGTGTCTGTGTGTCTGTGTGTCTGTGTGTCTGTGTGTCTGTATGTCTGTGGTGTCTGTGTGTATGTGTGTCTGTGTGTATGTCTGTATGTATGTCTGTTGTCTGTCTGTGTCTGTGTCTTCTGTGTGTCTGTGTCTGTGTGTCTGTGTCTGCCCTGTTTGCATGCCTGTATGCTGTCTGCCTGTCTGCCTGTCTGCCTGTCTGCCTGTCTGCCTGTCTGCCTGTCTGCCTGTCTGCCTGTCTGCCTGTCTGTCTGTCTGTCTGTCTGGATGGATGGATGGATGGATGGGTGTATGGATGTATGGATGTATGGATGTATGGATGTATGGATGCATGCATGCATGTATGGATGTATGGATGTATGGATGTATGGATGTATGGATGCATGGATGCATGGATGTTCTCTCATATAACCATTCATTCAACTTCTCATCCTGCTGAGAAAGCAAATAAATGAAAACAAGTGAAAGCAAAGTCCAGGTGACGATGAGAAGGGTGCGCTGTTGCAACGCTTCCATTGCGTCAGTGTCCATTTTGGACTCGTCATTGGCCCACGCAACCACCCTGTCAGGGCGTGACCAGAATAGCGTCACAAGTGGGCCATGTTATTAGTTTATCTATTCATTTATTTATTTATTCACCGTATATGTTATATACATATCATATGACTGTCATGGAATTAAATGCAATGAAACTCCATAGGTTCAATGATCTCAACACTTGGCACCGTCCAGAAATCTTTGCACTGTTCAAGGAAACGCAGTGAAACTCAATGAAACTCATGCTGCTCACCAAGCGGCCCTCCAGTTGTGAGAGCCAGGGTGAGAGTCAGCCCCAAGCATGTTGTCAGTGACCACGAGATTCGGCAAATACCAGCCCGGGTAAAAAGTCCAAGAAACCTCGGTCTTAGATTGTGCTGCAGCATGCTATCAGCATGCTACAGCCTTATATGGATTGCTACAGTGCTACAGCATGCGAATGGGGCTTCAAGAAGACTCTTTAAATATAACATACCAGTATGCCCAAGTTCCAGCGAATGTTGTTGTCCAGAATACTGGAAATCTGATGGAATCTGCGGGTTCTACCTCTGAAAGGCAATCGCTCATGCTCCATACATGACAAGGCAACAAAAGAAATCAAAAGGACTTGAATATGTGTCAAAAGTTCCTGCTCACATCTTTAGGTTTGGCGATGTTCAGGTTTGTGACAAATACAGTGCACTTGACCATGCGAAGTCTGCAAAGCAATGTTACAAGAATGTAAAAGGCTCCCCAAGAGGCCAACAGAGACTTTGTCCCGCTTGCTGTTTGGAAGCCCGCCCCAGCGACATACTGCATCAAAATCATAATGAACGATTTTGCATTTTCGATCACCTCAAAGAAAGCTTGAAGCAGCTTGCTATCCAACATGTTGAATCATGTCGAGTGGGCAAACGAAGCAATAAACTTGAATTTCTTGATCTAGATCTCACCACAGACACGAGAACCTACATCCACTGCATTCCACTTGTAAGTTCATGGAAACTGCCAACATGCTTGTATGTTGCTACTTTATTCAGTTCATCGGCGGGTGATATTCTGCTGCTCGTTGTTGTGCACGAAGGTGCTGAACATACCTCCGAAGCTCAATCATTGCCACATGGTGCACAGCTTGGACACTTTTGGACACTTTGGGACACCATTTCAATGTGATTTGAGGCGCCTTCAGAGTGCCGCAGCGGCCCCATCCATACTGGTACCTGTGCAATCTGTGGCAACAAGAAGCAATGCGAAGCACTGCGCAAATTATATCAAATTATCAAATTTGGAGGACAACCCAAGCAGGGTTCTCAAAAAATGCGTACCTCATGCGGTCCACTCTCAACAGCTTCAGGTTGCCTGCCAGTGTCGGACATCCAAGAGTGACTCATGATCAGAAATATGGAGAATATTGAGAAAGCCTGGCAACATCAACACCGATGTTGAAGTAGCAAGAAAGTATAAGAAAGTCACAAATCGTTGTAAATCACCAATCAATTATCCTGATGCGAGTTTCAAATGTTGAGCATGCTCGGACAATCAAATTCTATGATTTTCATTGATGTTCCATCAGATTCTTCGAGCTAACATTGGATTCTAGTATGTTCTAGTGCCTTATGGGGAATCATTCACACCTGTCTGCCAGCAGCGACTGCCCTGCATAGCTGGCATAAGGCGCTTGAGGCAGGCTCCGCGTCGACCATGGCATTGGTCAGGCGCGTTCTTTGCTCTGTACACACGCACTCCTTCTTTCATTCTTTTACAAGGACAAGGTGACAAGAACATGATGACACATCTTCTTGACTGTTTTCGTGCCACCTCCCAAAATCGTTCATCTTTTTCTGGAAGTAAATGGCTTTGTCATGCTTTGTCTCTGTCGTGAGGCTGCTCCTTTCTGGCTCTGCACTCTCACTCTCGGCTCTGCTTTGTCTAGCCAAATCATCTTACACCGAGATTACATTGGATATTATTTCGACGCATTTCGACGCATTTCGACGCATTTCGAGGTTTCGATCTCTATCACAATCACAATCTTTTGGGCTCTGGTTCTGAGAGGCCAACAGTTTCGGCCACATGCCCTGTACCTTCGCCAAGATCCTCCGAAACTGGAAGGCCGCAACGGTCATGATTCATGATGCAAAGTTTGCAAAGTGCAACGGATCTTTCCAAACAGATCCCAAATTACATTTCCTTTCGCTACCCGCAGATTGGTCCTCGCGCATCTTTTTTGTATCAGGGACCTTGATTCAGCAAACGTCTTGGTGCGCATACATGGTAAGTAACACACACTGCAGAATATGCGTTACAAATCTGTACAATTTGTGTCCGATTGTTTACTAAAGATGAATGAGATTGAATGGGTATGTACAGTATAGTACAGTATATCTTCCGGCCACCACGAGGACCGCACTGTGAGCAATGAGACCTCAAACAATGAATGGATGTAATGAGCAGTAGCACAGCGTTGCACAAACCGTATGTGACTCAGGTGAAGTTTATATGAAATGAACTTTGCATTCCTGACACTTTCAGATTGGTTGTTCTCTGTATTTTGTTATTTCTCCCCTTGCACTTGATGGACTGTTCTTGAGCTGCTTGCCAGAGCGGAGCTTAGAATCGGCAGCAAATGTGAGGGCGGCAAAGAATCAATTGGTTCACCTGTCGTGAGGGTATTGGGATGTCCATGCCACGTCTAAATCTGTCTGGCTTCTTGCAAACAGGCTGCTGCCCTTCGCTGCATCATGTATCCGGAAGGCCTCACTTTCTCATTACTTGGTTTACTTAGAGTTTACTTGTGGTGCAAAATGTGCAAAAACCATCATTTACTTGTGGTGCAAATTGGAGCAAATCGGAACCGTTCCGGAACCACTTGGATGAGATGATGAGTAAAGATGGCTCACGTGCCCCACGTGGCTCATGTATCAACGGCCAGTTCTTAGGGCACTGGCCAGTTCTTGAGGCAAAGGCCTGACATCTGCTGCTATCTGCTGCTATGCATTTCTATGCAATTCTATGCAATTCTATGCAATATCTAGTGAATCTAATGTGAATCTAATGTGAATCTAATGTGAATCTAATGTGAATCTAGTCACAAGGATGCAATGCCCACCTGGGGTTGACATCTCCATCAACTCAGTACGACGCAGATCAGAAAGGAATAAGAAAAGAGCAGATATGAAGAGATTCATAGCAACTTTTCATAATTTTCATAGTCTCTTCAATATGATGCAGTCTGCAACTGCTGGGTTGTCTGAAGAGAATTAAAAAAAACTGTAAACCAAGACGGAATGTTTGAGCAGTGCTAAGGTCTCCTCAACTCTGCAATGACCTTGAAATGGCCACATGATGCAAGATGCTTCGTCTAAGTCGTCGACAAGGATCTTGCAAACCTTGCACTGCAAGTCCACAGGGGTCTGCCTCGAGCTGAATCACCACAGGTCTTCGGAACCTACTTTACACATCTTTACACCATTTTATACCGACCATTGTCATGTCTAGCGGTCTACCTTGACAGAATGACGCTGTCCAGCAAATGGCTTTTGAAATCTGCTTCCTGATTTGTTTCTGATTCAGGATACATCCATTCCCCAAATTACCCAAGCCTGAGCATGCTCGCACAGAGTGAACAGCAATAGCTGCTGTAGAATTGGACTGTCTAGACCTAAATTCGCGAAAAAACTGAAACCCTACATCAGGAGTCCAAACCCGATTGGATTTATGATGTGCTTCAGCTGTGCACGCATGTGGACGCCATTTTCTGATTCAGTTTGTCTGCATCTGTTTGTGTCGGTGTGCGCGAATCAATTCAGTAGCAGCATCAGAGTCACTTGTGAGACATCTCTATGTCCATACGAGCACTTGGCATCGCAAACATATCCTAATTTGTCGCGAAAGGCAAGGGCGCCAAGAAGATTAAAGCTCCCTAAAGCGCTACGCATCATATCTCTACATTGTTCAAACATGTTCAAACAAAAATTCATCACTCATCACCTTCAAGATCCTTTAAGCCTTTGTTCCATCTCACAAACAGCAGTGGGTTGTGAGTCCACAGGTCCTCCGTGCTCAACACTGTGGATGGTACCTTTGTCTTGGCACTGCTCAACGATTCTACAGAGCGACTGCAGCTCGAGCCTCTCCACCTGCTTTGAAAAAAAAAGAAGCTCTTGCAGGGTGGCACTCCAATTCTCCCATTTTCATCCATTTTCCTTGTCATGTTGGGTGTGGAAAATACATGAAAATAAAGGAGCAGGGCATACGAAACGCACCACGACGCGACCCTAGTGACCCTAGTGACCCTAGTGACCCTAGTGACCCTAGTGACCCTAGTGACCCTAGTGACCCTAGTGACCCTAGTGACCCTAGTGACCCTAGTGTAGTGGCCCTGGTGACCGTTACAAGTCACGAACTCGAATGGCACGGACCTGCTGCAGCTGCTCTGCAGGCCACTCGGCTCCCTCAGGCAGGGCGTGGCGCAAGTACCTGGCATTGATCGAAAACAAGAAGAAATGTGAAGAAAATTTGCAAAATTGTGCAAATATCGAGCAGTGCAGTGTGTTGGTACCTGGCAGTGTGCAATTTTGGGTTGATCTGCCTTGATCTTGGGTTGATTGGCGGTGTAGAATTGTACAGAAGTCATTAAAGAGCCCTGGGATACTCCTCAAAGGGCTACTCCTAAAAGTTGTTATCCGTGCAAAATAAAATCTGAAAAATTCTCAGAAATTCAAAAAAATATCAAAAAACAACTGGAAAAAACAATCCACGCATTCCAAAACGAATTCAAAAAAATTAAAAAACAGAAAAAAGACGGAACAAATCCCACAAAAAAAATAAAACAAGTTCAAAAAAAAACGAAAAAGTTTGAAATAAACATTCGAAAAAAATCAAAATACAAATTCAAAAAAGTTCAAAAAAATCAGAAAAATCAACAAACAATCAAAATAAAAATTCAAAAAAGTTCAAAAAACAGAAAAGTTCAACAAACAATCAAAAAGGAAATTCAAAAAAGTTCAAAAAAAGAAAAAAAGAAAAAAATCGAATATAAAAAAAAGAAAAACAAAAAAAAAAACAGAAAAAACTTTTTTTTAAAAAAAAAACTATATTAAAAAAAACACAAAAAACAAAAAATAACAACAAAAACACAAATCGAAAAATAAAAAATAACGACAAATCTTGAAATCATCATTTGAAAAAACCTTAAAGAAACATGAACGAAAAAGTATTTTTTGGAATGAAAAATAGTTATTTGATGTTATTTGATGTTATTTGGAATGAAATTGCATTATTTGGGATGAAATTGAAATAATTCGAATTAAAACTAATAAAAAGGAATGTTCCAGGAGTGTCCCTATGAGGAATGTCCCTCTCCATAGAGAAGAAGATTATAGAACTAATTCTTACTCGTTTAGGCTATGGCCTCAGGAACCGCAACGTGCAGGCCTTGGAGCAACGAAGAGCTTTGAAGCCAACAGACGTAACGGAGATCTGCTATCTGTAAAAATGTGCTAAGATACTAAGACAATCTAAGACATACCATGCAACAAAATGCAATGGAACATTTATAACATGCGAGAGTCTTGTGTGAACACCAAACGACAAAGGGCTAGGAAGCTTCAGCTGTTAGAGACGCTTGCGGACCCCAAACGACCTTCACTTGGAAGTGTGGAAGATTCTAGAACCTTTTCTTGCAACCTGTCTCTGCTCAAGCCTTTTCGATCTTTTAGAGCTCATTGAAGGTATGCATGAACTCCCACACTGAGCACAGGGCGACAGAAGCAGCACCACCCCAAACTAACAGCTTGTCTGCAGACCTGGATACGTTATGATACTTTGGCAAACTAAGCTGTACAGAGTGTACAGAGTGTACAGAGTGTACAGACTGTACACTTGCAATTTGTTGAACTTGTTGAACTTGTCGAACTTGTGGAACATGATATATCAAATTGTTGAATTCGTAGAAATTGCTCTCTGCTTTGTGACTGGCGGTACAAAGGGAGCAGTGGACTCCGTAGACTCGTGAAGGTTTTTCAACGGTTTTTCAACGGTTCATGGCTTTTCCACTTTCAATTGGAAAGCAGGAAATCCAGTGGCACTGCGACACTCACATTTTTTCCTCTACAAAGCGAGGCGCGATTCTCAGACTGAATAATTTCTTTGTTTCAAGCCATTCCAGTCACATTGTCAAACATCTAATGGCTCTTGCAATGTCTGATGAGTCTGATGAGTCTGATGAGTCTTGTCCTCTGCCACCTACTGCCCGGTGCTGCACTTGTGCAAGCTAGGACCCGCAACAGGTCTAATCGAAATCTATGAAAATCTGACGTTGCACAAAAATGACACATGTTATGGCTGCAGTATGGCATGCAAACATACGACAACGTGTGCTCTTGACATTTCTTGGCTCTTGATGACTCTTGCGGGTCGATGCCAAGTGAAGCATGTGAAACAAAGCTCGTCCAAGCCAGGCTTAGACCAAGCTGGTCTCCTCCGCACCCAATCCACTCGGATCCACCTCAGTTTCAGCTGGCACATGCTGGCACGAAGGAGTTGGTCAATCGGCAAATTCATGTCCAAAAGTGTTTAAAACGTACATTATCCTACGTTGTTCTACGGTTCTACTTTTTCAACTCCGGAAAGAAAGACTAGGTAGGACGGCAGCACGAAGGCAGAAAAGTTGTGTTAGGTTCGGCGGATACAAATTTGATGCATTTATATGCATGTGCTCTGGCAGCAGTGATGTGCATGCCGAGAAAACATGAGAAAACAATGTAGCAGGACAACATGAAAGCAACTTGATGGAATTGAGATCGGTTGTCAGCTCTGCTGCCCAGTTAGTCTCTGTTCACAACAGTACTCATCATTCCTAAACGTTTGGCCACGTTCCCTTAAATGCAGGTGGGCCACGTAAACTTTGAACCGTACTCTCTGACCTTCTGAAAGTTCTTCCAGACCTGCTAATTGGAGGCTATTCATGGCTGCGTTATCCGGGCTAGATGCAAAAGGGCATGAAAATCACTATTAAAGACGCATGCGTCGGGCAGGATTGGCCATGTTTACCCTCTGGTTTTCCCAAACATATTGAGATTCTATGCATGTAGATAGAGTGTCTGCTTTGCATTTACTATGGGGTGTTGATTGACTTCTTCAGAAAGAGAAAATTGTCTAGCCTGCCAAACAAGCAGTATTTTACATAAATACTCTGTGTAGTTGAATGTGTGCAAATATCTATACGTATATAGCATAGCCTGGCCTGACAGGTCCTTCAGAGAGACCCAAACTTTCCCGTCTGGCCGGCAGCTGAGGAAGGACTCTTTGGGCAATGCAAACTCTCACTGCATTTCTACATTGGCTTCGTTGCTGGTTTTTACCCCATGGCATGGTGTCTGTCTGTGCCTACTGTTGGCAAATTCTGACTGCCTCTCCAAGTAGAGAATTCGTGGTCCACAGGTGCATCAGGCTTTATCCATCCAAATTTGCCTTTCCTTTGCAACACACAAGCGGCCGAGTCAGTCAACCTACAAATCAAAGAATTCTGCTTGTCTTCATGAGCCGTGCGTTCAATTGTTATCAAATAAGGCCGCATCCATTCGAGCACGGTTCCCGTCACAAAATCCGATGTCACCTGTTCTCTGAACATCACTTCACCACCCTCTTGTAGGAAGGTCTGCATCATCTGCATCATCTGTCCCTTAATCAAGCAAACAGATCAAGGGTCAGCAACGCCAATGTGCCAATTATACTGCCAGTTTTTTTGAGGAGAGACGTACTATATGTAGATTATAGATGTTGAGTACAGAGATGCTGATTAATTAGTCATGATCAACCCTTGGTCGCACGATGTTTCAAGTCTTACCTGCTTCGAAGTATCTGCATCTCACTTTGCAACAAAGACACCCAATATCCTTTGTTGCCGCCGCCGCCACCACCGCTGGTCTTTTGACCTTTGCCACCTGGCTTTCCTGGTCTGTGGGCCTGCAGAGGAGGAATTGAGATGTGGTGCCGCATCAACGAATCCTTCCAGAGAACACCAACTAAATCCTGAACGAAATTTCAAAATATTGTTTCATATTGTTTCTAATTTTTTCTGGCATAAATTGCAGTCCTTTTCCATCAGCTCGGCATCTTCTTTGATGTCCTTCCACGCGCTCAAACAAGATCTATATAGCAGCTAGCAGATCCAAAAACTCCAATTGATCACATACTGTACTGATGTACACGGAAGCACTTTCGCAGCACGTTTACTGATGTTGGTCCATTGGTTGGTCCTTCAAAGCTTGCTCAGCTGCGCTCCTGAGACGAAAATTCTGAAAAGCTGGCAACTCCAGATGCAAAAAAACACGGATGCGTGTCAAGCTGTGGAGAAAGCAGTGTCCTGAAAAATCAAACATGGTGAAGCATCGAAGGTATCAAACTCTTTTGATGAAACCAGCCACCAAGTGGTCGCAGATCCAAGCAGCCCTCTAAATGCGTCTAAATCTTCTAAGTCACTGTTCGGCTTGTTGTCGTGTGGGGCACAACTCGCCAGCCCAAGCTCGTGATGCCCACTCATCAGGAAGTGCTGCGCTCTGCACCGTCGCCTTGCCCGGGCTTGAGTCAAAGTTGTTGCCAGTCCCAACCAGGTTGACTTGTCAAGTCTGTTATGGTTGGACTGGTTTAGAAAAGTTCAGAAGTTTAGCACTTGTGCGTTTATATACACTTGGACTCATTTGGACCTTCTATTTTGGTCACATGAATTATTTTAGCGTGCATTGGATAACCCCCCGGCTGGGTTCCTGGAATGAAGCAAGCGATCCATTTTTTTGGAAACTGGCAAACTCTGAAGGACAAACTTGTGGATTCTACAGACATAGTGCAGCAATTTGAGATGCAATTCAACGGTCTACCAACCCACCCTTTCTAAAAACCACATACAGTCATGGATCCTATGAAGATTGCACACACTATCCATATAACAAGTATATTAAGTATATAAATCATGTCATGGCTCCATGACAGATTGCCACGGAGAGATGCCTCATGCCCAAAGTACAATTCATTCCAACACAACCGTCTCAAATTGTGGACCATGGGCCCTGGACCCAACTGGTGTTTGCAAACGTGCTAAGATGCGAGATCAGACATTGCATCATTGTGTGATACGTAGAACCGCTTTGTTCGAATTGGTAGCAATCCTGCCTGATAAAGGCTTCCAATCCTCAGGTTCATAGGCTCACGTTGGGAATCAACAAAACACACGTTGAACTACAGCGATGTAAACTTGGACAAGAGGTAGAACATCGCAAATTTTCATATTGTCGTCCCATAAAGTTGACTCAGAAGGTAGGTTGTCTTATGATGAATAGCATCAAAGTGTTCTGAGGAATGCAGCTACCAAGGCTCTTGTTGGCCACGTACAAAGTTTCACCCTTCTGTAGAACCTCAAACTGAGACAGTGTCAAAACCAAAAGAAAATTGGGATCTTGAACATCTAAAAAGTATGTTATATTATATACAGTATATATTGTGTAATTCGTATGGTGATGTATAGCCACAATATGCGATAATGACTTTCTGTGTCAGCCGACGCCAATATTCCGACACGGACTGCTAACCTTTCTGATTCGTCTTCATTCCAGACTGTGCAACTCAGCTGTTGGTCACCTATTGCCAAAAGTTCTTCTCCATAAAGAAAGAAACATAATGCATATATAATCAAAGGAAATTTAGTTAGGAAACTTCCGAATTACGAACGATGGCTAGCTTTCTCACCATTATGGCAACCACATCATCACCTCAATCACCACATCATCACGCAAGTAGTTGGGAAGTGTGAGAGGTCGGGAACGCGTGAATTCAAGCTTGAAAACACTGTCGGGCGCAAAATCCTGTATTTTTTTCGGGTAAAGTGGCTGCCGTGGTCGCTGAAGGAAGGTCTCTGTTTCCGCGGTTTCGCAGCTCGATGGGGGAAATTGGTCAACAAAAAGTGCGCATGACTCTGTAGCGAGAGCTCGATTTCACATAAAATCGTAAAAAACTGTCGGGTCCGGAGCACTTTTGGAAGATGAGGTCTTGAAAAGGCGCACGAGACTGTAGCGAAAGCTCGATTTCCACTTGAGACCGTTAAAAAATTGAAGGGCTCGGAGCACTTTTGGAAGATGAGGTCGGCAAAAGCCGCACAAGACTGTAGCGAGAGCCCAATTTCATGACAACCACATCATCATCATCATCATCATCATCAAGAAGTAGCTGATCACATGACATTGTAACAAAACTGAAGGGACCGGAGCACTTTTGGAAGATGAGGTCGGCAAAAGGCGCACAAGACTGTAGCGAGAGCCAATTTCATATGTCAACCACATCATTGAAGTAGTTGATCACATAAAATGGTTTTAAAAAAAATGTCAGGGCCGGAGCACTTTTGGGCGATGAGGTCGGTAAAAGGTGCGCGAGACTGTAGCGAGCTCGATTTCACAAGCAGTCATTCATTCCGTCCATCTATTCGTTCCTTCCTTCCTTCATTCCTTCTTTCATTCAGTCACTCATTCAGAGCAAAACCCGTACGCAACTCGTTCAATCCGTGCAGATGCAAGCGCCTCATTTTCTTGGCACCGTTCATTCATTCATTCCATTCCATTCCATTTCGTTTCCATTTCATTTCCATTCATTCATTCATTCATTCATTTCATTTCATTTCATTCATTTCATTTCATTTCGTTTCGTTTCCTTTCATTTCCTTTCCTTTCCTTTCCTTTCATTTCATTTCATTTCATTCATTCTTTCATTCACTCATTCTTTCATTCATTCTTTCATTCATTTCATTCATTTCATTCATTTCATTCATTTCATTCATTTCATTCATTTCATTCATTTCATTCATTTCATTCATTTCATTCATTTCATTTCATTTCATTTCGTTTCCTTTCATTTCCTTTCCTTTCATTTCATTTCATTTCATTCATTCATTTCCATTTCATTTCCTTTCATTCATTTCATTTCATTTCATTTCATTTCATTCATTTCATTCATTCATTTCATTCATTCATTCATTCATTCATTCATTCATTCAATTCATTCATTCATTCATTTCATTCATTCATTCCATTTCATTCATTCATTCATTCATTCATTTCATTCATTCATTCATTCATTCATTCATTCATTTCATTCATTCATTCATTCATTCATTCATTCATTCCATTCATTCATTCATTCATTCATTCCATTCATTCATTCATTCATTCATTCAATCATTCATTCATTTCATTCATTCATTTCATTCATTCATTTCATTCATTTCATTCATTTCATTCATTTCATTCATTTCATTCATTCATTCATTTCATTCATTCATTCATTCATTCATTCATTTCATTCATTTCATTCATTCTTTCATTTCATTTCATTTCATTTCATTTCATTTCATTCATTCATTCATTCATACATTTCATTTCATTTCATTTCATTTCATTTCATTTCATTCATTTCATTCATTTCATTCATTTCATTCATTTCATTCATTTCATTCATTCATTCATTCATTCATTCATTTCATTCATTTCATTCATTTCATTTCATTTCATTCATTTCATTTCATTTCATTCATTCATTCATTCATTCATTTCATTCATTTCATTCATTTCATTCATTCATTCATTTCATTCATTTCATTCATTTCATTCATTCATTCATTTCATTCATTTCATTCATTCATTCATTCATTCATTCATTTCATTCATTTCATTCATTTCATTTCATTTCATTCATTTCATTTCATTTCATTCATTCCATTTATTTCATTTCATTTCATTCATTCATTTCATTCATTCATTCATTCATTCATTCATTCATTCATTCATTCTTTCATTTCATTCATTTCATTCATTCATTCATTCATTCATTCATTCATTTCATTTCATTTCATTTCATTTCATTCATTCATTCATTTCATTCATTCATTCATTCATTCATTCATTCATTCATTTCATTTCGTTCATTTCATTTCATTTCATTTCATTCATTTCATTCATTCATTCATTCATTCATTTCATTCATTCATTCTTTCATTCATTCATTTCATTCATTCATTTCATTCATTCATTCCATTCATTCATTCATTCATTCATTCATTCATTCATTTCATTCATTCATTCATTCATTCATTCATTCATTCATTCATTTCATTTCATTCATTTCATTTCATTTCGTTCATTTCATTCATTTCATTCATTCATTCATTCATTCATTCATTTCATTCATTCATCATC